TTCAGCCATCTCACTCTCTGTCGTGGTCATTTGAAATGAGCGGATTATTATCTAAAGACCTGAATGAAGTATTCTATATTTATTATTATTACTATTATTATTTTTATTAATATTAATATTATTATTATTATTATTATTATTAATGTTATTATTATCATGTTTATTTTGTTTCTCTTTTTTTTTTTTTTTACTCTTCTTTATTTTATTGTTGTTGTTTTTCTTGTGTTTCTTTGTTTGTTTTTTATTATCGCAGAAAATGTCAGCTAACGACTTTTCTGCATCTCTCATGTTGGCAGGGATGGACTACATTGCCCCATCGGAGGCCTGTACACTCCCAACAACTTTACAGCAAAGCAGTGATGGTAGTGTTCGTCGATACAACTCTGCTAATGAGGCGGTAAAGATAACTCTTCAAGATTGTTTGGCATGTAGTGGATGCGTAACGACGGCAGAAGCTATTCTTGTGAGTTCACAAAGCCGCGAGGAAATTCTAAAGGTTCGTAACACTGATATTACTCGACCTTTTTTAGTTTCTATTAGCGATCAATCAGCTTCGTCTATTGCTGCTTATTTGAATATTGAAACCCATAGAGTTTTTCACATTTTAAGTGGTTTCTTTCGTACTATCTTAAAGGTACAATATGTCATTGATCTTCATTGGGCACAATTCATCTCAGTTGAAAAGACGGCTGAGGAATATTGTCGTCGAATGCGAGAAGAAAGAGATAGACTTCCTATGATAGTTTCTGCATGCCCTGGATGGGTTTGCTACTGTGAGAAACAAGGGGCTGCAATCCTCCCATTACTGTGTTCCGTAATGTCCCCACAGGGTATTGCGGGAAGTTATGCAAAGAGACTTCACCCACAATTATGCCATATCTCTGTTCAACCTTGTTTTGACAGAAAATTAGAGGCGGCACGAGATGCCTCTTCTGAGAATGGTGAACGTTATACTGATTTCGTACTGAGTACACAAGAAGTTCTTGATTGGATGTTGGAAATAGATAGTTCGCTGCCATGGAATGAACCGTTGGACTCGAATTTTGACCCTCCTACTATGCTACCATTGCAGGAGTCAGATCGAAGAATGGCAGCCGCTATGGAGGGAAGTGGTGGATATCATCGTTTCGCAATGCGATATGCCGCACGTGAGCTTCACCACACTGAACTCGTACCTGATAATATTCACTACGAGATGAAGAGGAACTCTAATCATCAACTAGCTACAAGTTCTTGTAACTCTGGTGAAGTTTACTGCATCGCATACGGGTTTCAAAATATACAGAATATTGTACGTGGAATGAAGCGTAAGTTGGCTTCTGTTGCATCATACACATTTATTGAACTGATGGCATGTCCTGACGGTTGTCTTAATGGTGGTGGTCAAGTAAGACACAAGAATGTGGTTTCCACTACAGAAACGATTGCTAGGGTGAGAGATGCTTTTGGAAATTATTTGTTTTCCCAAATTCAGGAAAAGAAGTTTGACACAAATTCGGAGGAAGTACATGACATACATCATACTAACGAAGAAGATAAGGATCAACTTTGTTTTTCTTTGACTGCCTTTAAAGAAGTGGAGAAAAACATTGGTCCATCGCTATGGAACTGTGTTTTTCATGACCGCCAGAAGGAGTTTGAGGCGACATTAAATAATGGTGGTGTTCACAGCCTCAAATGGTGATCTGGTGTTGTTGTTATGAGTTCTTACTCTCTGATTGTTTTAATAAGGGGGTAACCAGTAACCATTACCTTGAATGGTATGAACTCAGAAGGAATGAATTATCTACGAAGAGGCAGCTCTTTTCTTATTCTTATTCTCTCTTTTTTTTTTTCTACGACGTCTATTTTTGGAAGTGTTGCTAGCGCATAAATGTGGAAATAAATGAGTACAGGGAGTTGAGAAGATGTTGGACAGACCAAGCGAAATCAAGATGGTTCGCGTTTTTTTTTTTTTTTTTATTTCGTTGACTTGTCTGTTTCTTTTTTTCTTTTTTCCATATTTCTCTGTGACTCACTTTCTGTAATTGTATGAACTTAAATGTCTGCTTGTTTCTCTTGATGACAATGGTTTTGAAGAGCTTTGCCTTGTAGAAGTCACCCCAAAAATTCTCTTTTTTTTTTCTTTCTCCTATAATATGCGTATGATATATATTTTTTTCATTATCTGGTGGTGTGGTGTGCGTAAGCAGAACTAGTAAACACGAATAAAATAAGGGGTGATAAAAGCTATATATATATATATATATATATATATATATATATATATTAATTTATTTATTTATTCTAAATATCAGTAATATTTAGAGTATTTAGGGAATCATAAATGTTAAGGTTTGGTGTTCATTTTGTTTTGACACTTTTCTGGATATTTGCCTTCTTTCCTAGTAACTGCGAAGCAACTGATGTTTCTCAACGGTGTCACATTGATTCAAACCTATATTCAGGAAAGGCAACTTCCCGCGGCAAGTGGATGGATATAGCATACAACATAGTCTACGACAAAGGTCTTTGTACTACTAATGATGAAATTGGTGTATTAGACGCCACTATTAATGGTGTAAATAAAACTCTCGAAGGACGTGAGGGAAGTATTTCCTTTGATAATGTTGCTTTGGTCCGCTTTAGCTTGACATCAGGTATTAACGGGAAAGAATTCTTTTTCTCTGAGCTATGCTGGAGTTCATCTAATTGTACCACCCTTTGCTCTTCTGAGTTATTTGGTACCACTTCTTCATGTGTCGTAAAAAATGTCGGCGCTTACATCATTATTGCTTTAATCGTTTTGGTTCCTCTAGTTATATGTTTGGTTTTACTGTATATTTCTTGGACACGTATCAAGCTGCGAAATCGAAATAAGATAACGGAGATAGAGGATAATCATCAAGTGCAAGTACTTTCACGCGGTATACCCACAAAGGAGCAATATTCAGAATCACCTACTACAGTAGTTCATATTAAGCCAACGTGCAATAGCAACGATACACCTGCACATACTCTTCAAGTTGGTCCTACATCTGTAGAGGTAGCCTCTGCACAGATTGAAGTGCATGTTTTAGAGGAAGAACATTCTGTAAAAAAAAATATCCTAAAGGAAGGTACTTCAAACTCATTTCCAAACGATGTAGTACAAAAACATCAACTCCTTCAGCAGCAACAGCATGAATATCTTCCTAAAGATAGACCGCTCACAGAAAATATCAATTTGAACACCCACATACATGACGGATTCCTACATACTGAAGAGGTCACCCGAGGTGAGTTGGAGATGGCTCTCTTGCATGATGTCAATGGGGTCTCCAGACATATGATGGAAAGAG